CAAGCCAACACCCATTCTTCCTTTGGTCATGTCCCTGTCTCTTATACACATCTAGATGTGTATAAGAGACAGCGATGATAGTGCTCATGGGGACGGACTCATACGGCGGCGGTAATGCCGATCGTGACAAAGATGAAGGTCTTGATAAAGATGATGACGGTGATTATGATCATCATGATAATGATGGCGATGGCGATGGCAACGGCAATGGTGACAAGGCGAAAAAGAGGAGCGTGCACAGCGGGACAATGGTTTCTGCAAGTTCCACCCTCACCCTAGATAAGGTCGTAGGAAGCCAAGTATGGGACGTGAAGGAGAGAGAGGGATGGGCGAGAGAAGAAGYGGGGGCGACCATTAAGTCATATCATCGTCGCAAAATGACATCAAGACAGAGGAGGAGGGGAAAAGAAGGACGGGAACRGATCTCCGGTAAATCTTATCGTTTTTTTAAACATCAAATTTAGGCGCCAAGGAAACGTAGAAGAACAAAAAGATGCCCAAGAATGACAACAACAAGAAAGAGAAATCACRAGGTGATGGTGACRATGATGTTTGATGAAGCCAATGACGCAACGACACTTTCCTCGCCGCGCGCTTTTTCCTCCTTTTTCCTCTCTCATAGCCACTGACTTTTCTGTACACACTCTCCTCTTCCCCCTTCCTCACAGACCTGACGGACTCGTTTTCTCACCTTTCTTTTTCACTTTAACGTATTCTGCACCTCTCTCTCTCTCTCTCTCTCTCTCTCTCTCTCTCTTCACACTCAACCACCACTCTCCACCCTCGCACGTTGTCTACTATTGCATGTCTCTCTCTCTCTCTGTGTGTGTGTGTGTGTGTGTCCGGACTCATTACCTTGCATCTCTTTTTCACTTCAGAGTATTCTGCTCCTTTCTCTCTTTCTCTCGCCTTTTTTAACGAAAATTTTTCACACCCTTACGAGTCCCCGTGGAGCGTCGGCTTCATCTCAGTTATCTAACCACCACCAGGCAAAATGGCCAAAAAGAAAATCCCGTACTCACAAGACAAATGCACAAATTCCCTTACTCCCTCCCTGGCTTCCCTCCCAACCACAATCACGAAAACCCCTTCACACCACCCCAGGATTATTTTTCCAACACCAACAAGAATTAAACTTTCCCAACTTCTACCCCCAGCATCCCATTTCCGAACCCTCTGCTCCATCCAAATCGCTGTCGTCCACACTTGCAGAAGCTACAACAGCTTCATCTCTAGGGTTCTACGAAGAAGTGACCTTCTTCACTTGATTTCCTCAAGCGCCCCACATACCTCCTCTACGCCCCCCCTTCTTCTCTACTTCTACCTTCGCAGAATCACGGAATGGGTTCTCCTTGCGCTTGTTTCTTTAGGTGGTGCCCCACGTACCGTTCGTTCCCTTATACTCTACTTCAACAATCAACTTGAAGGCATAATGGAACATTCTCTGATCCAAGCCAACACCCATTCTTCCTTTGGTCATGTCCTCCTCATTGCACCTCTCCCTTTCCTTGTGTCCACTTTTCCTTTCCCACGTAGATCTGCACCACCTACTCACTCACTCTCTTCCTGTCTCTTATACACATCTAGATGTGTATAAGAGACAGCTCATGTCCTCCTCATTGCACCTCTCCCTTTCCTTGTGTCCACTTTTCCTTTCCCACGTAGATCTGCACCACCTACTCACTCACTCTCTTCATCCCTCAACAACCGTAACCTCTTCATTCAGCTTTTTTTTGGACTTCCCTTGCGCGAACCTCTTCTCCTCCTTTTCTCCACCTCCATCTTTGTTCCAGTTCACTCCAACTTTTTTCCACAACAGACTTTTCCCCAAACCCCCCCTCTCTCTCTCTCTCTCTCTCTCTCTCTCTCTCTCTCTCTCTCTCTCTCTCTCTTCGCACTCAACCACCACTCTCCACCCTCCCAACTCCCATTCGCCGCCCGTGACGCATCGAAGCTGCTTTAACGTCTCCTTCCTTCTCTTTCCCTCAAACGATTCTGTCAAAAACAAATCTCTTCCATCCCTACCACCACCTCAAAAACAACGGCCAGAAGAACGCACCTTTCAGCCCTATACTGCCGCCCAATTTTATCCTGGTAGTACTGCCACATTCTCTCCTCCCCCCCCTTTGAGGTTTCACTACAATGTGCCTTCCTGTGCAAGTTCCACATTTGCCCGGCACCTCCCATCTTCAATCCGTTCCCTGCCCACTTGTCTTCCCGCCAACCTCAGCCCCCACACTTCCCTCCCTGCGGCATTCTCTCCCTCACCTCTTCCTTCTCAGGGCATACTCGCAGTATGACTTCTTGTACTGAGCTCTGGACGTGATTGCAGTCAGATTCATCTGAGTCTAGCGGTCATTGCAGTCGGACACATTTAGAAAAGTTACAGTGTGAGTATGCCATCCAACATGCTTTTCCGTTTTCCAGTATGTCATTTCCCAGTGCACCAATCCGCTATGGCGGAGGATAAGGAGAAGACGACGAACGGAGAGCGAAAGAACAAGAGGACAAGAAGAGAACGACGAAGAAGATGGTGAAGGTCAGCCAATGAGAAAAAAATGTGTCAAAGATGAACAGAAGGAGGAGGACGGGGAAGGGAAAGACTTACCTCGACGACGGCGACGATCAGTGGCAGGAGATAACTTCCTTCGCTATGGTGGGAAACAAATGGCAATCGAAGGCGTCCACAGGGCATACAAGGGGTGTTGGCCAAGATGTCGAGCCTGCTTCTCGGCTGCGCCACTGTTGTTGCTGGTACCCGCCTCTGCAACCTGCAAATCACTTAGCAAGCAGCCCACTGAAAGCGGGGTTTTCCAGTACAGCGAGCAGATTCGCAGGATTGCATCCGATACGCGCGGCCTTTTGCTCTTTCGCGCGCGCACTACACTAGAATTAGAATACTCAATTCTATTGCAGCGACCGTCAACCCCGCCGTTCGTCGTCCAGCGGCGGTAGGGAGCAAGATCACATAGAGATAATCCACACAAGAAGCCTTCCTACTGTGGTGGAACGAAGGCCTCCCTGTAAACGGAAAGGGAGGAAATTTTGATAACTGATATACCACGCGGAGCGTGGTGGCGCAGCCGGGAGGGCGACCAGGACGGCAAAGGCGGGGCCCAACCACGAAACAGGCCAGGAGCTGCTACCTTGCTGAAAGTCGAACTTCAGCTTTAATTCGAGGAACCCACAGGCTGGCGGCCTGGAAACCGGTCTGGCGGGAGTCCCGCGGCGGGAGGCCACCGCGAACGGAGAGCGATTAGGGGCTGATCCGACTACCCAAAATACAGCTATAATGACCGTATACGTTGTATTCGGGGAAAGAAGGTACTACTCATTTTGGGGAGAACCAAAAAGAACCGACTTGTTCGGTTTGGGGGGCGGTCGGACCGAAGGAGCAAATTGCATCCCACTTGCCGGCGTTTTTCGTTTTTCGTGGCGGGTTTTCGTGGGCGGGGCATGCAGGGCCATTCCACGCGGACGGAAGGCGGACACTGGAAGGGACTGTGGGCGGCGGTCTTGTCTCCCACGAGTCCGCTTGTGTGGCAGTGTTGCAGTCCCCCGTGTCGCCCTTCATGGTACCGTCCCAAATCCACTTCCGCCCTCTGTGCTCGGCATCGCCCGATTTGTACTTCGTTTTGGCTGTGAGAAGACATGTGTGGGAAACCATTGCCATTGTTTTGCGTGAAAGCATACGGCCGCCACGTGTAATGAGCCCAGTGTCGCCTACCATGGTGGATTGATGGCACGTTGCCTCCACTACTAGTACTTCGCTTTTTTTCATCCGTTGGTCACGCCTGCTTGCCAAGGTGGGAACTTTGCAGTCCAGCCCCAACCCCCTGGGGTTATTGCTCGTTCGTGAAGAGAGTGTGGCAAGTCTCAAACCTCTCGCCGTTTCGACCTCATACACGTGGCGGACTCGGAGTCAAATCTGTGTCACTGTCGTTTATGCGTGCAGTGTTCGGCAGTTCATAGGATTCGAAAGGTGGTTTTTTTTTTTGCTCTTCCTCTATCCTGCGTCCGCAACCCAGCAGCGGGGTCACTGCCATGTCACAGCTCCATCTGGCCATGATCCTTGCTGCTGTTGTTCGGTGGCTGAGGTTGAGGGAGCAAGTGACAGTCATATCCGCCATGATGCTCATGCACATCCTGATGAACATCATGATCATGCAGAACGCCACTTGTGTTTTGTTGTTTCTCGTATCCCCCCATATGAGGTGCTGGCGGGGCTGAGGGTCTCCCTCCCATGACAGGTAGTCGCCACCAGCGATTTTAGGTGCGGGCTCAAGTGGGTGGCACATGGGAAGAGCTGAACATGCGCGGTCCTGGCCACGAAAAAAAATTCTGGGAGTACACGTGCCTCACGAGGCCCATCTTCGAGCAGATTCTTCAGCAGATGGGACCAAGGATCCAGAGGATGGACACCACGTTCAGAGAAGCGCTGCCCGCCCTTCTCAAGTTCACTTTTGCCCTTTATAGATGGGCCACGGGCGGTTATTACCGCTAGTGTGGCAATGACTTTGGCATGGGCTTGCACAACGCGGTGAGGTGCACGAACGACGTGGCAAGAGCACTTGTTCGAGAGTATGCTCACAAGGTAACATCGTCGATGAGCGCACGGCTTCAAGCAATGCTTTATTATTTCGAAGGGACAGGATTCCCAAGGTGTTTTTGAGTCATCGACTGTATTTATATGTATATCGACAAGCCAGGTGGCGGCGAGGCGGAGGCGTACAATAGGAACAGGCAGTACTATATAGTCGTGCAGGTTGTTTGTGATGAGAATTGTCGCATTCTTGACGTTGCAGTTGGCACACCTGGTTCTGTTCATGATTCAAGAATCCTTCGACTTTCAGATTTATACAAGCGTGCAGAGGTGGGGAGAGTCATTCAGGAGGAGTAATGTGCTTGTGAATGACACGGTCACTGGTCGATACATAATGGGGGATGTCAGTTATCATATTCTCCCTTGGTGGATGATATCGTACGGAAGTCTGGCAACGACGGTTGATGATAGAACGTTCGACAACATGTTCTTCACGTTGTGCAATATGATAGAACAGTGTTTCAGTCGGCTGAAAGGCATGTGGCGGTGTTTCCGTCGCAAGCACATTACGAACATGGATAACATTTGTTATGAAATTTATGGCGTGTTGTATTCTGCACAATATAATCATTGACGAAGACATCCATGTTGATGAAGATTTGTTGGGAAGGAGGAGCGACAACGGCAACTACAACAACAACAAGGAGGACAACATCGACAACAATGACGACAACAACGACAACATCGACAATAACGAAGAAGTTGAGGGGCCTATCGATGACGATTTCGATAATGACTCCGGTGACAACGGCAGCGATGGTCCTCCGGAAGGAACTACCATGTATAAAAGCTATCGTCATCGGCTGTGTGTGGCAAACGCCATTCGAAAGTATGTGCTCCACTGCCTACGTGTTTGGAAACAATTGAGGTTTTGCGTAGACTTCCTGTGTTGCATTCTTCTTTTTATTTGTAAGGTCGTGGGTTACACGTTTTTTGTCTTTTTTTTGTATGTTCGTACTATGTGTTTTTGGTAGGTGGGTCGTTGGTCTCACAGGTGCACAAGAACGAGCAATTCAGCCAAGAGATAGAATGGCAGATTGATAGGGTGAGAAAGGATAGATTGCCACATGAAGGTGACAGTCGTATATTCATGGGGTGTGCGTGTATGCATTGAGGTGCAAGTACTATGTAGTTCTCTATCGTTGAGAATAACTTTTATAAACATACAGTGATCGAAGGAATTGGGCAGGGGGTGGGGGGAGGAATGTCTGTTCGGGGTGTGCAGGTCACACACTCTTTCATGTTTTGCTACCCCACCAACTTTTGGATGTACTTTTTGTATTATGTCTATGTATTGCCCGTCCAACAAATTGCAACACTACATGCTTG